TGAGAAGTCTGCTGTGATTCTGATGGGCTTTCCTTTGTATGTGATTTCTTTTCTCTAATTGCTTGCAGAATTTTGTTCTTCTGTTTGGTTTCTGGAATCTTAACAATTATATGACTATGCGTAGATTGTTTTTTGATCAAGGCTAGTTGGAGTCCTATATGCCTTGCTCATCTGTATGTCAAGTTCTTTTCCCCTGCTTGGGAAGTTTTCTGCCATCACTTCTGTGAACAGTTTTTATGTCATCTGCACTCTCTGTTTCTTCATTGACTCCAATCAGTCCTATGTTATTCTTCTTTGCATTGTCTAGCAGCTGCTGGATTGATTTCTCGTGGTCCCTTACAATTTTAAAGAATTTTTTCTTTTCCTGGTCACTAATTACAATCTTATCTTCTATATCTGAAATTCTGTCTTCACATTGGCTCATTCTGCTGCATAGACGTTCAATGGAGTTTTTAACCTCCTGGAAATCTGTTTGCATCTGTTTTATGGATTCAATTTGTTTCCTATGTTGGCATTCCATCATGTTCCTCAGCTCCTCTATTTTTTTATCTGTGTCCTCTCTAGATTTATTAATCATGTGTTGCACTATGGGCACAATCGTTGTGCTGTTATGTGAGAAATTATTTCTGATTTCATTTCTTTCAGATTCTCTTTTCATTGCTAGTTCAGGGAGTCCAGGTGGTTGAATATCAGAGTGTTCCATCTCGTTTCCCTTGGGGTTGCTATAGGTGATCTGGAAGTCTGGTTCTGAGGTTTGTTTACGTGTCTTCTCATTTCGATGGGGGTGGGGTGAGGGTGGGGGTTCCTGGCACCCATGCGGCTCACCTCCTCTGTGCTGGGAGCTGTGGCATGCCTACCCAGAAGCCTCCTCCATGCTGGGAGCCATGGCATGCCTACCCGGAAGCCTCCTCCAGGCTGGGAGCTGTGGCATGCTGACCTAGAAGCCTCTTCTGGGCTGGGAGCCATGGCACACTGACCTGGAGGCCTCCTCTGCGCTCTGCAGTCAAGATTTAGTGCCAGGGTCACCAGCTGAGAACCTCTCATCTAAGCCACACCTCAGCCCTGTAACATACACCATGTCGCCAGTTTCTAGAATCCACATCCCTGTATCCTAATCAAAAACTCCATGCAGACCATACCCAACCCAATAATGTGCTCAACTAACAGGAAATTCTTAAATCACTCAAGGGCAAGAAGCCTTAGCTTCATGTTTCTCTAGGTCTGTAAGAAGATGGTGAAATATTTGATCAAGTTCCCTCCTTCAATGCAGTTCCACTCAATAATAAAAAACATTATTTAGAATCAAAATATCAATTAATGATCAACCACAGGTTTCATCACTAACCCAAAACAAGAATAGAATGAGACTTAAGAGATCTTCAAAAAAGATTCTTTGTGCCACAAATTCAAAACTAAGGATAATTTTAAATTAAGTATCTCTGACAGTCAAGGTACCTGCATAACAAGTACTCTATTTGAGCATTGTTACAGTTTATATATAGATATCCCCTGAAGCACTTTGGACGGTAACTGGATTACAGAGGTATTAGAGCTGGCTTGCTGTTGGGAGGTGGAGCTTGTTGAGGAGAGGTAGTCACTGTGGGTGTGACCTGAAAGGTTTTCTCCCTTCCTGGCTCCTTCCTTGACTCTCTCTCCTTCCAGGCTATCATGAGGTGAGCAGCTTTTCCTCTGCCATGCCCCTCTGCTGTGCTGCCCTGCCCTGGAGCCAGCAGACTATGGACTGTAACTATGAGCCAAATAAACTTCTCCTCCTTTGCATTCTGGGATTGTCAGGGATTGTGTCCCAGCAATAAGAAAGTGATTTAGTCAAGAATGAAGATGTTGTGAGCACTCTGAATTTTGGAATTATTTTTAAGCTCTGAAGAAAATGATTTTTTAGCACCCACTACCTTTCTCTTGGGTTTCTTGAAGGGCCTTCTTCCACAACTGAACAGCCTTTTTGTATGATCCTAATAGAAAACTCTCTTCACCTAGGAAACAGCATAGTTAATTACATTACTTTGTAAAAATTTACATTGTTTTAATATTCAGCAGATATCTCTCAGAAATTATTTTGAAAAAGAAGTAATTTTAACCCATTAAAAAAGTCCAGCAACTGTTTAACTTATTCATGAAATTAGAAATTGCTTAGAAGATACTGACCATCAAGAGATGTAAGTTCTAAGGGTTGGTTCAAGTGATCTCCAGCAGTCTGTAAGTCAGCCTGTATATGACATAACAGTGACTTAACAGTAGCTGCTTCATGTGTCATCTTTTCAGTTAACTGTCTGTCACCCTCAGGAGTTCTTCGACTTAATTGTGCTTGATACCATAAAGTTTTTTTGTACAGTACTCTCCAGAGAGCAATCAATCTGCACACAAAATCAGACAATCATCAAAACCAAATTCAGACTAGCAATATAAATTTGGATAGCCCCTTTATAACCTATTTTTATGCCTATATTCTTCACTGATGTAATAACATATAGTGGTCAGATTGAAATATAGCACAAATTCCAGTGATCAAAAACATACATAATGTGGGGCCGGGGATTTAGCTTGGTGGTTTCACCGCCTGCTGTGGAAGCACAAGGACCCAAGTTCGATCCCCAGTACCAAAAAAACCAAAAAACCGTAATGTGTATGAAAAATCCTCAGAAATGTTTTAGGCACTTAAGGTCTGTTTTCGTTGTTGTTTTGAGATGAGGTCTTGCTACACTGCCCAGACTGGCTTTGAACTCATGATCCTCTTGCCTTAGCCACTCAAATAGCTGGGAATTTTAGGGGTATGACACCACACCTAGCTTGTGATCATTTTCTTATAGTACTTAACTAAACCAACATCTTAATAATATCATGGTTATCAAGACTAAAAACATACAGGTGCTGTAAAACATCTGTAATAAATCCTAAAATATTTTTAAATTGGCAAATAAAAACTATATATTTACCAGGTATAACATGATCCTTTGAATATACATTTAAATATTTAAAAATAACAATGTTTTAATGTACAGTGCTAATGGATACAAGCTTTCTTTCAAGAAAGAAGAAAATATCCTGGAATTAGTACTGACAGTTTCACTAAAAAAAAACCCCTGAATTGTACACCTTAAAATGGTGAACTGTATAATACAGGAAATCTAATGATATTTTAATAACAAAGTTAGCCATACCTGTGACCTGGCTGTTGAACCAGATTTGTTCCTTGAGGCTGAATCTTGAAAGATGATTTCCAAGACCAATTTTCCTGAAAACTATGGTCTTGAAACATTTGAAAAATAGGTAACACCAATAAATCTTGTTCTGCTGTTCTACTTCCACCAGCTGGTGATGAAGTAAGTTCAGGCTGAAGTCTGTACATGCCATTTAAATTATCAGCTACCATTCTGAGTAAATAAAAACAGGCTAAAAGTTTCTCTGAGAATAACTGACCCTTTTGTTCCTGAGTCAGTAAAAGCGTTATAGTATTTGAGGTCAGTCTTATCAAATGTCCTACATCTTGTTTGTATCTCACATCCCAATACTGGATCGATAAACACTGATGGAAAATTTGAAAGATACAAAGTACCCATGCATTATGTTCTGGGCTCTTGCTTAAAAAAAGGTCAAGTTTAGGGAAAGGACATTTTATAAATTGAAGAATATAGAAAAAATGAGTGATACAAACTATTGTATAATTTAACATTAAATTTTTTCCTGTCACATTTTTTGAAATTCCTATAGTCCATGCCGCAAGTAGATTTTTCTGGATAGAATACAGTTCTGTAATGGTTCTATCTGTCTCCTTGGTATCATCCTTTGCATGCATTGTATCAAACATAGATGCAAATTCCAACCTTCCTTCCTTGACACTGTTAAACAATGGATCATTTTTTCGGTTCCAAAAAGGTAGTAAGTTGTTTGGAAAGTGTTTGCCTTCGTTAGTTTCTTCTGCTTCAAAATTCTAAATATAAAGGGAAAACTACACTTAATACCATTTGAGCCTTATAGGTAGAATGACTTTGGTGTTCTCAAATTTCTCTTTAATGAGAGAAAAATGAAATACATTTCTTGAAATAAAATCATTATGTAATTGTTCAAAGCAAATAAAGCACTGCTAGTAATACCTGAAAATCTGCTATTTCTTCATTTAACTTCATTGTTTCTTCTGCCTGCAAAAATTTGGGGACAGTGGAACTCACTGGACTTTCATTTCCTCCGTGTTTTAACAGACTAGACCTGAGGGAATCCAGTGATCTCAAATTCAGCCCTTTTCCTTTTGGCTAGATATAAAGACAAAAGATTTGCAAGAGTAAAATTTTATCTGTTATTCTACCACAAGCAATTAAAACTTCCATAGTCAACTTTGAAAAAAATATAAAGGCAGCTCTTAGGGTTTATACGTAGATGTCCCTCTAAAGTCTCCTATGATCACAGGTGGGGATTTTGGAAGGTGACTGAATCACAGGGACATCATAGCTGACTTGCTGTTAGGAGGTGGGGCCTAGCCTGCAGAGGCAGGTTACTGAAGGTGTGGCATGGAAGGAAACATCTCTCTTCTCTATTGTTCCCTTTACTCTCTCTCTGCTTCCTCACCACAATGTGAGCACTTTTTGTCTGCGATGCGCCTCTGCCATGTGGTCCTGCCTTTGAGCCAGCAGACTATGGACTGAAACCTCTATAAGCTGTGATCCAAAATAAATCTCTTCTCCTTTAAGTTGTGGGTGTCGGGTATTGTGTCTCAGGGAGGAGAAAGTGACTAAGACAGCAACTTTCACCAATGATACCAAAAAGCACTATACCTTAGACAGTATCACACTTTGGTAGGTTTTCTCAAGCCTCTGGGTTGAATCAAGTAGAAGTGATCGCATGAGCACCGACGGAGACAGGTTATCAAGAAATCGAAGAGTTGTGACCATGTATCCATCAGAAATAATGAGGTAGGGTAACCAAGAGTGTGCTTTTATAGAAAATCTCTGTCTCATAGGGTCATCAGAAGCTGATGAATCTACAGAATTATTTGAATCTTGAAATGCAAACTGCTGTGGTCTATCAAACAAACATTAAAATTCAAGTATCAGTAACAGAAAGATCTTAAAGGAAATAATCATATTATTCCAAAGAAAAACTAAAAGGTACACAATGATGAGAAAGGAAGTGGATGGGGGCCGGGGGTTTAGCTTAGTGGTGCTGCCGCCTGCCTTGCAAGTGCAAGGTTCTGAGTTTGATCCTTGATACCATAAAAAAAAAAAAGCAAGTGGATGAAACACACAAAAATATTTAATATATATAAAATATATGTATATATATACCTATATATATATACATACCTATACATGGACCTGACATGAAAACATTACAGTGATTTCAAATATTTGTATATTTTAAAATTTCTTCCTGAATTGTGGCATATACTCTGTTTTTAACTTATATACAACCCATTTCAGAAAAGAATTAAGGCAGTTTATTTTTATTATTAAAAAGAGTTAAATTAGGTCATTTTCCTTCTTACCAAATACTTACAGGAATATAAATGAGTACATTTGTTATTAAAGAGAAGAAATGAAAGAAACTGAGCAGGATGTTTAGACAGAATAATGGAGAGTAAAATTTTATTATCTTAAAATTAAATTTGAATGAGTTTCCACATAAATGTATATACCTACTGTTATAACAGTATCCTTGATTTTTTTGTGTGTGTACTGGGATCAAACTCAGGACCTTGTGCTTGCGAGGCAGGCATGGCACCACTGAGCTAAATCCCTGGCTAGTATACCTGATTCTGATTACTAAATATCACTGTTTATTTAAAGTCTGAGGCTTTGTAAACATAAAGGGGGATAAATCATCAAACTATATCATAGTTTCTGATTAGGAAACTGTTCAAACATCTATATTTTTAATTAGCTAAAGGGCTAATAACAGGTGATTGGTTAATCATAGAATCTTTACACCACAGGAATCTTTCCAACCATTAAATGATAATATCTAACATAAAAATGCTGGGCCAGGGATGTAGCTCAGTGGCACTGCGCCTGCCTTGCAAGTGCAAAGTCCTGAGTTTGATCTCTGGTACCAAAAAAGAGAAAGATATATAAGATATACTGTTAAATCAAAATAACAAAATAGTAAACAGCATTTGTCATATCATTTATCTTGTATTAAAAAAGAGACTAAGGCTAGGGATTTAGCTCAGCAGTCCGGCGCCTGCCTCGCAAATGCAAGGTCCAGAGTTCGATCCCCGGTACCAAAAAAAAAAGGAGAGTAATACTGCTATTATTAAAAATGCTACTGCAGGGGCCGGGGATTTAGCTCACTTGCCTTGCAAGCGCAAGAACCCAAGTTCGATTCCCGGTACCAAAAAACAAAAATGCTACTGCAGGGCTGGAGATTTAGCTCAGTGGTTCTGCTGCCTGCCCCGGAAGCACAAGGACCCGAGTTTGATCCCCGGTACCCCAAAAAAAATGCTACTATAAAATTTTTTAAATTTAGAGGATAATACACTAAAATGTTAATTGTTATCTCTGAGGTACAGGAGTACAAGTCTTTCATTTTCTACACTATTTAGTTTTAAAATGATTTTTTAAAAAAGAATATTTTTATAATTAGAAAAATAAATTTTGAAAGACCTTAATATTAATTTTAAAGGCAAAGTGGAGAAAGTGAAATGGACCACAAGAAATACAGAAAAATACTTCCACTATGGGAAATGACAGTTTTCCATTTACATTATCTATCACTGAAAACTATGTACTGTAACAGTTTTTGGCTATGCATAATCAAGAATATATCTGAGGCAGGGGATTTAGCTCAGTGGCACTGCGCCTGCTTTGCAAGCACAAGGTCCTGAGTTTGATCCCTGGTACCAAGAAAAAAAAAAAACAAACAGTAAGAATATATCTCAGTTTCTTTTCAGTATATGGATTAATTTCAAAGGTTTATTCCAATTTTTCTTCTTTAAAAATGTGTTGTATAGGGCCAGGGATTTAGCTCGGTGGTTCTGCCACTTGCCTCGCAAGCACAAGGACCCGAGTTTGATCCTCAGTACCAAAAAAAAAATGTGTTGTGTGTATATATAACACAACTAACACCAAGAATGACACACAGATGCACTTATTTTACATGAGAACTGTGCTTAGTGATTTAAAATTATGTATCATCTTCATTCCTTCAACTCTAAAAGACAATTACTGTCACCCTCTTTTCACAGGAGAAGAAACAGAGGCTTAAAGAATAATGTACAGAACTAATAAGTAGAAAAAAAAAATTTGAATCTTGTCTGACTTCATAGCCAAACTTCTACCTCAATTCAGTTAAAAATTAAAATATGACTAAATTCTAAACTCTTCTATTACCAACAACTTTTCCCCTTGGAAAAAAGTGGATAAGACAGTGTGTCAAGTTAATTTTGACTTATTAATTTATGTAAGTGCTATTCTTTCATAACAATAAGTGCCATTTTATACTTTTATTATCTTTTATATCAAAAATTTAAATTTTTAGTACTACTGAATATTTAAATAACTTATACTTACATAGTCACAGTGCAAATTTCACCCGGATTAAGCCACAAAAAGAAATAGAAGAAAACTATAAATAAGAAATATATTGAGATGACAGACTTAAAGAAAACAAAAGACAATTTGAAAGATGAAATTATTTTTAAAAACATATAGTAAAATAAGATTAAAAGAGAAAAACTTTTGGAAACAAATTGAACTATTTGAATGTCTCACCTATATGTTATGAGTGGATGAAGAGGAATAAATTCTGCTGGCCCAAATTCTATAGAGCATCCAAATGTAACTAATGTTAGCAATTCGCCTTGGCAGGTCAATAAAACCAGGGAGCCACGCTTTAATACACAAGCCAGAAAAAGATTATCGTGAGTCCAGCTGATGTCACCTACCCAATAGGACCTAGAAAGAGCAGAAGGCAATATATTTAGAAATGACAATGCTTATAATGGGCTAGTCCAAGCAGGGGTGAGATATTTTAAAAAATGAGGGCGAAAGAGTGGATAGTAGACAGTTATCACACACATTTATGAATTTGACTTCCTAGAAAAAGGAGCTTGCTTTGATGGTTGCCTTTCTGAGCTTAGTAGAATCCTGCTGAGCAGCACTCTGCCTCTTCACAAAGTTGTCAGTTACTTCTTAACTCCCTGGTGATAATAATGTTTCATGAGAATAAAAAGCAGCCCTTAACAAGAAACAGCCCAATGAATAAGACCACTGATACTTTTGGAAAAGAACTATTGGGGAAGGAAAGAAAATTAAAAGAGCTGGATGACCAGAAAACTGGCAAGTTGGAGAACAGAACAGGGAAGTATACAGCACTCCAAGAGGAAATCTGTACTCTATTATCCAACATAGGGTCCTCTTGATAGCTCATGAGCTATCTAAAATCACTATCAATGGTGCTCCTGACTACATAAAGAAGACACAAGCTATTTAATAGGTCATAAAAACCACAGCCTCTCTGAGTAAAGATGATCTTCCCAGTAAAGGATTTTTAATTTCAGCCTTTCTTATTACACAGAAAATTGCTCTACCTACACGATTCCACTCCTCCAAAGAAGACACAGAAAACAATGAAAGAGAATATACACAGGCATATCTGCTAACTCACTAAAGCTTTCCTTAAAGTATTAAGGCTTTCCTAATATAAAGCTGCTTTTAGAATCATCAAACACAAATGCTGAAGGTAAGTTACATCTTCTAAATGATATGTATAGAGTTATTACAGCCTTATATTTCTTTTACTATTGGAAAAAAATACAATACTATTTAGAAATACATACAAGTTCATACCTGATAAGTGTAGCTGGAACTACAGGATTTTTATTGCTACATCCTTTAAGGCTACCACAGAGAATAACAAAATTCACTGTGTTTATAAATAATACCTGAGTTGCCTAAAAGAAAAAAAAAGATAACAAAATCATTAAAGCTATTTTATTGTCTTTATCACTTAAAACTCTGGAGACTAGAGGTCTCTTATAAATAAGCTACTTAGGGGGCTGGGGATGTAGCTCAGTGGTGCCATGCCTGCCTAGCAAGTGCAAGGTCTTGAGTTCGATCCCTAGTTCCATAAATAAATAAATAAATAAATAAATAAATAAGCAAGCAAGCTACTTAGGGAGTCTTTCCCAACTAGTAATACAATAATGACTCCCTGCAGCCCTTTACTCTTCTCTACCTTAACTTCAGTTTGATAGGGAAAAGTTTCAGATAGCTTAGTAGATTGAATATTAAGGTAGTTGTAGAAGCAAAATAAGTAATGTATTCCTTTAAGATTTGCTTTTCCCATAATTCTTGTTGTTTAAGGTGATGGTTATATGACTCTTTAACCGGTAACTTCATTATAGATAACCTAACAAAGTTGCAATGCCTGGGTAAATTTACAATGTATATGTGTTTATCCTGTGTCTGTGACTTGTAAATAGGAACTGAAATGGTATTTACACATCAAAGACCACTAGGGATGAGATAATGACTAACAAAGGTATAAAAGAAGAGACTAACAAAGAACACAGAGCTTGGACACTGACCAGACAGGTTTCTGGCGGTTCCGTCTGCTTGCAAGCAAAACTTTTATTATTTTACCTGAATTCTGTGTCTCCGTGTATTTCTTTCCACGATTTCCAGAACAAGTTAAGGCTCAAGCTCTAATCCTCCTTTTTCTTTTTCCCTTATCATATTTTCACTTCTAATGTCCACCTTTGAAAATTATGGCAGCTAATTTAAATAACTTTACCAATCCACAATGGCAAGATATTAGAAGAAAACAACTTAGGGTAGGGATATAACTCAAGTGGTAAATCACTTGCCTAGCGTGCACAAAGCTCTGGGTTCAATCTCCAACACCATACCAACACAAAAGAAAAGAAGAAAGAATGAAAGAACCAAATTAGAGAACATATCGTAGTATTAAGGAAAAAAAAACTCTTCAAGGAAGGAAAACAAATCTCAGAACTAGAGTAAATCCCTCTTTTATAGATTACTTTTCAAGACAGATTGTATTTACAAACCTTTGGGTCTTTCTGATTAAGAGTCACTGCCAAGGTAAGGCCATCTCTTGAAAAGGAAGACATTAGAGCTCCTCTTGACTTTACTGATTCACATTTGGGAATTAGACTACTTAGAAGACAGTCTTGTTGTGCCCAATGAATATGGTACGGCAATGACCTAAGAAAGAAATGAAATAACTGAAAACAGGAGGTATATTTATTTTGGGTGTTTTGGGTGGGGGGGATTTGTTTTTAGGATGAGGTCTCCATCTGTGCTCATGCTGGCTTCCAACTCCTGACCTCAAGTGATCCTCCTACCTCAGCCTCCCAAGTAGCTGGGATTACAGGTGTGCTACCTTGCCCAGTTCATATAATGACCTTGAAACTGATACAGTGGACCCCTTGACTTATGAACTCAACTTGCTCTGAGGGCTGACTGTAACTCAAGTTGGTCAACTGAAGGCTCAGGGTCCTCTACACAACCTTCAAAGTCTCTCTCCTGTATAATTTTAGGCCATATTTTCTTGCAAGCAGATCTCAGCCTAGGATTTCTCAATTAACCCCATACAGGAAAGGATGCTGTAATATGCCTTCCAGAACTCTTTAAGGGTTAAATCTGTATCTGAGACCATCTGGAAGCACAAGTGGCCATCATTCAGGTTGTAACTCAAGACTTTGGTCATAAGTTAAAACTAAAATTCCAGTCATAACCCAAGTTGTTCGTATGTCAGGTCAGTCATAACTAGAGGGTCCACTGTATACAGTTCATTACAAAATATTAAAGGGTCCACCTAAAACCCTACAAATGCACACATCCTAAGGGGCCTCTTAGTGACCTTTCAGAAGTTCCACCAGGGCACCAAAGAGCAGCTGTCATTCAGTTAAAACAAGCTCAATACCAGAGTTTTATAGCAGAGCCATGTTCCATGGCAACCCCCAAATATACCTACTTAATGTTTATATAAACATTTTTACAGAAAGTAAAAAGCATGAAAAAATCTTAATCACATCATTTTACTAAATCTTACCTAGCCATTATATACTTTTACTGTATTTTTCTATTTTACTGAGCTTTTAAAAGTAAAAATTATTTTAATTTTTTAAAACTAAGCATTTATAAGGTACAACAGTAAATCCAAACAGTTATGCCCCCTTTAAATTTCAATTGAGTTATTCTTAAAAATAGTTGATTTTTCATCACCTGCTGCTCAAGCCCAAGGACCCAAGTTTGATCCCCAGTACCAAAAAAAAAAAAAAAGTTAATTTTTAAGTCTGATGACAGGTAAAACCATAGTCTGTTTTATCTTTTACATGCTCTCACTTCTAAGAAGGGAAACAAAACAAAAACAAATTTTCTAGATTAAACTTTTATAAATGAAAGGTGGGAGGAAGCTTCAGAAATTGAAATTTATATTAACATTCTCAGATCTTAAGTATATATGGGCCAAAAGATAATAATATTTCAAAAGGGACAGAAAATAAGGAGAAAGAAAGATATACCTTACCCTGTAGGTATAAATACATTCTCGTGCCATCGAACTGCCAGAAAAGTTAGCTTCAGGGATTCCCCAGAATAAAAAGTAAATGAACACAAACAGCAATCTCCAAATAACTGTAGATAAATTGAATGTACTTTAATATAAAATTAATTTGAAAATAACTCGATATAAGAAACATATAAACATTTCTCATTATAAATAAAATAAATGAAAAATATTGGGACCCTGCTGGTATTTTTATTCTTAACATCAAGCTTAAGACTAAGTAATTTTTTCTGAGCCAGAACTGTGCCCACAAGGGGAATCTGGTTGCAGATTTGAGATGGGGGCTTTGGCACTGCACACAGAACCCAAGGCCTCATGTATGCTCTATCACTAAAGTGCACATTCTCACTGAGCTACAACCCCAAACCCTCAGGTTGCAGTTTCTGCTCTTAGGAAGTACAATAGAGGGCACCAACACAAAATTAGACAAGAGAAATTAGTTCCGGTTTTTCTGTGCCACAATAAGGTAACTGCTGATTTAAACAATCAATGATATATTTCAAAATAAGTAGAAAAGAAGAGCACAAAGTTTCCAACACATAAACATTATTGATGTTTGAAGAGACGATAATGCTTATTACACTGATTTGGTTATTACATAATGTATCTATGTATCAAATTATTATGTGCTCCATAAAGATGTACAAATACTGTATCTCAAAAAAAATTAAAAACTTTTGTGGCTATAACTGAAAAAATTCATATATATAGCTAATCTTCCTTTTTTATACTCTTATTTATATTACAGCAGCTGAGAGGGGAGCAACAAAACATCAAAATGCAATTTCTAACAATAATGGATTAGATAAAAGACATTGATTGGTCCATATATAGAATACTAAGCAGCTATTTTAAATTTTTTATTTTTACTTAATGGATCTGTGATAAATGGCTTATTTAATATCTATTCTAGCTTGTTAAATTAAAAAACAAGTTATATTTTAAATTAGAAAAAAGGAAGCTCTAATTTCAAACCACGTGTTTTTTCTTTTTGTGGCACTGTGGATCATGGTAGGCAAGTACTATATCACTGAGCTATACTACAACCTTCAAATCACTTTTTTTTTTTGGTACCAGGGATCAAACTCAGGACCTTGCGCTTGCAAGGCAGGCACGGTGCCATTGAGCTAAATCCCTGGCCCTCAAATCACTGTTAATAAAAGTAATTTTTAAACTGTGACTCAAGAAATGTACAAATATCTTTTCCATACAATATTTTCACAGCTACTATGACAATCAACAATGACTAGAGACAGAGACTTATGCCATTATGCTCTCTACCACCTTCCCAAGCAGGGTCTGTTCTTAGAGTCTGAGATCTCAACTCCTGCCACATTCCATCTGATTTAGGTTTTACCTCAGTTTTTACAAAAATAGCATTCACTACAGCTTCTTTATCTTCAGGGGAAGGCAAAAGAACTGCTTCTTCAGGTATGATCTGGGACCACTGACCCACCAAAGGGGGGCTTTTAGAAGATAAGATATTCTTTAATTCCAGATATTCCCAAAGATATATACATCCAGAGGGTGTTATAAGCAGAACTCTCTTCCCGTTTCCAGATACATACAAGTGTATTCTTGAAGAGCTTGCTAATTAAAAACAAAAAAACAAAAAACCCAATTAAACCTCTGAAATCTGAATTCTCCCAACAAAGTATACAATTTATTCCAGCAATAGAAAAACCCAAATGTTACCATTTAGCAAGTCAAACCAAAGGAAGTAAAAAGGCTTGGTGATGCACACCTATAACCCAAGCTACTTGAGAGGCTGAAGTAAGAGGTTCAGAAATTCAAGGCCAGCCTGGGCAACTTAATAAGACTTTGTCTCAAAAAAAATAAATAAAAAGGGTCAAGATTGTAGCTCACCAGTAGAGCACATTACTAGCATACACGAGGCCCTGTGTTCAATCCTCAGTATAACAAACACACATACATGGCACAAATAATATATTTAAAAGAACAGCAACAAGTACTCTTTATGTAGCATTAAAAACTCATTCTTATCACAGAAATATTATGCATGCCACTTTTCTTCTTCAAGTGGAATCTAGGTATCACAGATAAACACCACCAACTATTCAAAAACATACAAAAATACACAAATATAAATGCATACAGATATACATATGCACACACAGAGATACATTTTCAAAACAGTAAAAGGAAAATGTTTTATCCTCTTTTCCTTTTATTTCTCCTACCTAAGCCAATTTAAACAAATAAAAAATTCTCACCTACTGCAAGTTTAATCACATCCTTAGGCTTTTCAGTTACTTGTATAGATTTCACACAATCTTGATCTTTGTTCCAAAGGAAAAGGTCCCCTGTAGTGAGTACCCCAGCCAGCCAGGCATCTGTGTTAAAAAATGAAATGCGATTCTTAACTGAAAATTTCCCTTAATACTACTCTAAACTATGAAAAATACGGTTAATCTAGACTTTTGGAAATATCGGTATTACTTAACCATTACTGGATGTTGTCAGGACAAAAACATCCTTCAATAAAGGCTGCAGACTCGGTATCTTCTTTGTTTTTCCTGATAGCAAATTAATTTCATTTATGTATTTATCATCCAAAAGAAAAACAGCTTCATTCTCCTAAGAGACAAAACATGTAGAGGTCTAAGTGACTTGTCTAAATACTTGCCAAGAAAGGAAAACAAAATAACATTTAAGAAACATTTTAATTTGTATCACAAACCATAAAATAAACATTCAGGTTGATAGCCCAATTGCCCATCAACTGGAGACTGGATAAAGATGTGGTTTTTTTATAAAATGGAATACTACTCAGCCATAAAGAATGAGAAACTGGAGGCATTTATAGCTAAATAGATGCACATTGAGGCCATACTCTTAAGTGAAATAAATAGGACACACATGTAAATACCGAATAGTTTCTCTGGTGTGAAAAACTAAAAGTGTAAACAAGAATCAAAATGTATAACTGATAATGTAAAATAGGCAAAAAAGGTCTAAAGGAGTAGGGGAAGTGAGAGGGGTAGAGAAAAGAAAAAAGTATGAGAAGAGAAAAAAATGGAAACAAAATCTTTGTAAATAGGGAGGGATGGAGGGAGTGAAGGGAGGACAGGGGAATGGGGAAAAAATAAAACCCAAGATACATTATGTAAAAGTACAAGATCCCAATGATGAATGTAACTGTACTGTATACCTAAAATGTACCAATAAACTTAGTGGAAAAAAACTCCATTAAGGTTGATACCTTACAGTAACCTAAAGATTTTACATTCTATTTTTAAATGCTTCTTGGCCTGAGGGTATAGATCAGTGATAAGAGTCCTTGCCAGCATGTGGAAGCTCCTAGGTTCTATCTCCAGCACTACAATCAATCTATCCATCCATCCATCCATCCATCCATCCATCCATCCATCCATCCATCAGTCAGTCAAGTAAGGTAGTATTTAAATTTAAATTTCTTTGAGGTTTCACATTATAAGAGTGTCTTCTGGTTCTGTGAGTCAAAATGGGTTAAGTGAGGTTTAATCTCTGATTAATTTTAATAGGAATATGAGCAAGCTTCAGAGATTCATAAGTCTTTGACTCTAATAATAATAATTATTATTTTGACTACAAAAAGTAAGCTGTTTTGAATTAAGTGTTTTTTAGTGCAGTGGTTTTCAAAGCACCTCTGAGCAAGCAGTAGCACGCGAGAACTTGTTAGCAATGTAAATTACCTGGCCTCACCCTGAGACTGCTGAGTTGGAAACTTTGGTGGTAGGACCAGCCAGCCACCTGACAGTTTTAATAGCCCATCCAGATGACTCTGGTGCATCCTAAAACTCAAGCAACTGCGTTCCAAGGAAGTGAATTAGTGGTATAATTTCTCACAAGAAACTTGACATTTTACTTCAATAAAAAAGTCTAAGAGAATTTTTTAGGCTTGCCCACTTTTCCTAAGGTGAGGATTCCATAACATATATTATGAATGGTGCTCCTGGATTATTAATTTATGGCCCAACTCTTCTGTCCTACCCACAACAGAAGGAAACACTGTGCTTGACTGTTTTGTTAGGGGAAGTTCAGGAGATTAAACATTTCCCTTATTTGGCATCTCAGCCTACTTTTTTTTTTTTGAAGCAGGGTCTCCTTATGTAGTTCAAGCTGGTCTTGAACTCCTTACGGAGCCCAAGTTAGCTTGGAACTTGCAGCCATTCTCCTGCTTCAGCCTCCCAAGTGCTGGGATTTCAGTCAACCTACTTTTAATATAAAGGAGAAAATTTCTGGAAGTATAAACTTCCTTCTACTCAAACTACTTAACTTTCTAGAAAGCTAATTTATTCATTATAGTACAAATGCAGCACATGCAAAAACCTGTTCAGGGGTCAGATGGTCCTCATGAAGATGATGTTTTATTTCATTGACCATTCCTACATCTACAGAAAAACACATACTTAATACATATAAAATTGGTTTTATATGAATAAGGAAAAACTTACCTGTCCCAACCAGGAAATTCTCGGCCAGGGTTTTTTCTGCTTGATACTTGTTGATGTCAAAACTTCTAATTTTATCTCCATGCTTGTTAAGATACCAATGACCAATTAAGCAAAATCAAGATGCTGTAAATAACAGTAATAATAAAGAGTCCATAATATTGACCGCACATCTTAATTTAGAATTTTTAATAGTTTGATAATTACTTTTCAACAGTTCAAGTCAACTCTTTTTTAAGGTAAAGGGTTGACAACGCATTTAGTATCGCATACCCTGAATTGCCAGGCAAAATGTATTTGGGTTCTTAACACATTACTTCTTTTTTTTGGTACCAGGGATTGAACTCGGGACCTTGTGCCTGCAAGGCAGGCGGCAGAACCACTGAGCTAAATCCCCGGCCCCTACACATTACTTCTTAAACAATGAAGATACACATGAACTAGGAAGGACCTTGATGACAAAGTCCCTAGGTAATTTATCTTTCTCAGTGTGGCAGACTGGATTTTGCAGATTGCCATAACAGCATAGCCCATCTCACATGCTCTTACTCTGACTGTGATACTTCTCCCGAGTGCCATGGTCTCTGCCTCCTCGACAATGGGCCAGATTTTGTAATTATTTTGACCAAGAGAGTGTAATGGAAGTGATGCTATGAATTTTCCAACATTTAATCACAGAAAGGTAATGCAGGTTTTACCCTACTCTTCATTAAGCCCCAGTCACCACATAAACAGTCAAGCTTATGAGCCTACCAAGCTGTAAGAAAGTCCAAACTAGCTCATATAACAAATCAAGCCCTGGGTCAGGGATTTAGCTCAGTGGCGCCATGCCTTCCTAGCAAGCGCAAGGTCCTGAGTTCAATCCCCAATACGAAAAAAACCTTGCTGGTTATGGTGGTGCATGCCTGTAATCTTAGCACTTGGGAGGCTGAGGCAGGAGAATGGCCACGAGTTACAGGCCAGCCTGTGCAACACAGTGAGCTCAAGGTGAGCCTGAACTACGTAACAAGATCCTGTCTCAAAACAACAGAAAAAAAAAAACAAAAAAAAAAAAACGAAAAAAGAAAGAAACCGCCAAGCCCTGAGATAGCAAGGAGTGAAAGACATTTACCTGCAAGGCCCCATGCTGGGGGTGGCAATAGTGGCAGAGAACAAGAACAATCTGTGAGAGCCCAACTCGAGTGAGGAGGATTCTCAGGTGGGCACCACAGTGGGCATATGGAGTCAGAGCCCAGGCAGGATGAAGGCAGAATAACTTTACAAGAATGGCCCATTATTGGGAGAACTCTGGGAATAACAGGATCAAACACAATCATTCTGAAAGGGAATCTCATTGACCAAACTCTGGAAAATCTGAACATAAAACAAACTATAGTAATGGATTAAAATAGGAAAAATGAATTCATATAAGTGAATAAATAGAACATTTGATTAAAAATGGGACAATTACATAGGATACAGGTATACAGATCTCCATTTAACCTAGTGATCAAAATAAATATCATGAAGGAGGGCTAGAGATTTAGCTCAATGGCACTGCGCCTGCCTGGCAAGTGCAAGGTCCTGAGTTTGATCTCTGGTAACCACCCCCAAAAAAGAATACCAGGGCCGGGGATTTAGCTCAGTGGTTTCGCCACCTGCTGCGCAAGCACAAGGACCCGAGTTCGATCCTCGGTACCAATAAAAAAGAATACCATCAAGGAAAGAAAGTCATATTATCACTGGGCTGGGGATTTAGCTCAGTGGCACCATCTCACAAGCCCAAGGTCCTGAGTTCAGTCTCCGGTACCAGAAAAAAAAAATTATCATTATTTGCAGATGACTTGATCCTCTACATAGAAGACCCCCAAAATTCCAAGAGACTCCTGGAATAACCAAATTCAGTAGTGTATCAGGGATAAAAATCACTAGCATTCCTGTATACCAATAATGAAATCATCAAGAAAAACAATACTATCTACTATAGCATCAAGAAAAATTAAATACTTAGGAATTAACCTAACCAAGGAAGTAAAAGACCTCTACAATAAAAACTATAGTACTCTGGAAAAGTATATCAAAGAGGACATCAGAAAATGGAAAGATATCCCCTCTTCCTCAATACACAGAACCTATATTAATGCCCATACTTCCAAAATTGATATACAGATTCAATCCAATCCCAATTAAAATACCAATAGCATTCCTCAGAGAAATAGAGAAGGCAATCCTAAAATTCACATGGAAAAAAAGAGATCCAGGATAGCAAAAGTAATCCTGAGCAAAAAGAGCAAAGCAGGAGGCATCACAATCCCAGATTTCAAGTTCTACTACAAAGCTACAATAATAAAAACAGCATGGTCCTGGCACAAAAATGGACTTGTGGATCAACGGAACAGAAGTGGATGCAGAAACAGCTCCAGGAACATTCAGCAATCTGATCTTTGACACAGGGGCAAAAACACGCTGGAGGAAAGAGCCTTCTCAACAAATGGTGCTGGGAAAACTGGCTGTCCAAGTGCAGAATACTGAATCTAGACCCTTATCTCTCACCATGTACTGAACTAAAATAAGAAACGATCAAAAATCTAAATGTGAAAACAGAAACAATTTGCTGAAAGATAAAATATGTAAAATTCTTGAAGACAGATGTAGGCAAGGATTTTCTGTACAGAACCCCTATTGCATAAGAAATACCACCAAAAATCAATAAATGGGATCATATCAGATTGAAAAGTTTCTGCACAACAAAAGAAACAACAGAGGGCTGGGGATTTAGCTCACTGGCCCCTCACCTGCCTCGCAAGCACAAGGTCCTGAGTTCCACCCCCGGTATCAAAAAAAAAAGAATTGAGATGTATTATATACACGTACCAGCTCCCCATGAGGAATATAATCATTATGTACTGCAAACATGTACCAATGACAATTTTTAAAAGGAGGGGAAAAAATGAGTATTATCAGAAATGACACAAAATGTGCTACCTAATGGGTGAAATGAGACGACTTTTGTGACATGTTTAAGATATATAACCTGAATCCAATCATAAGGAAATACTGGGTAAGGCCAAATTGAGGAATATTCTTCAAAGTAACTGCTTTGTAACCTTCAAAATGTCAAGGTCATGAAAGTCAAGAAAAGACTGAGGAAACAGTTCCAAATGGAAATCCAGACAACTAAAAGCAATGTGTAAATGAAAGCTTTATTATTATGTTATAAAGCACAATACTAGACAGGTAGAAAAACCTGAATAAAAAACTGAAAATTAAATGGTTGCATATATAAATGTTAGCCTTTTCATTCTAGTAATTATTCTGTATTTAAGCAGAAGAATGTTATTTATAAAAAAATACACACTAAAATATTGTGGGGTAAGGGATTATCAGTTTGTCACTTAAAAGGTTCATGAAAAGTATACTATATTTGCAATTTTCTGTAAGTTTATGACTTGCAAATTTTTTAAATTAATTAATTAGTTTTTTTAAATCCAGGGTCTTGGTATGTAGTCCAGGCTGATCTTGAACTCACTATGTAGCCCAGGCTGTCTCAAACTCATGGCAATCTCCCTACTCAGCCTCCCAAGTGCTGGGATTACAGACATGTGCTATCACGTTCAGCTCAACATTTTTTAATTCAAAATTTGACAAATATTGAACAATGATGCCATTTGATCATTGGCCTATATTGTATTCCATTAAAATCCCTTTTTTTTTTTTTTTTTGGCAGCACTGAAGATTGAAGCATTGTAGGCAAACACTCTACCACTGAGCTATTTCCCAGCCTTCTTCATTTTTTTTTTTTTTTGGTGGTACTGGGGATTGAACTCAGGTCCTTGCACTTGCACAGCAGGCGGCGAAACCACTGAGCTAAATCCCCAGCCCCCTCTTGATTTTTTTTAAGGTTCTGTCTTCCTTTTTAAGGTTCTACCTTCCTAATTCCATTTGGTCTATGAAATTAAAAAACTGAATTTACTTGCCATAATTAATTTCATCTTTAACAAGAAAACAGCTGAATGTTTCCTACTAACACAAGATTTAAAAGAAAAACAATTGGGCTGGGGGGGTAACAGCACTTTCCTAGTATACTCAAGGCCTTGGGTTTGATCCCTAGCACTGCAAAAAAAAGAAAAACTATATACAAGACCAAATGGCCTATTAAGTTGCTAGTTATCTTCATATTCATACCATTTCATTTTTCTTTTCCATCTGTTTATGTATTTGTTGGCACTGGAGATCAAACACAAGGCCTTGTACACAGTAAGCATGTGCTTTACTGCTGAGCTATACACCCAGCCCCAATATGTTTTCTAATTGCTCAGTACTCTAAAGGTCCAGAAGACTATGTCCTTAGACATCATTTATATAAATATGTGTAAGATTTAAGTATAAATACAAAAATTACAGGGCTGGAGGGGTGTGTGGTTCAAAGGAAAGCTTACCTAAGCATGTATGTGCAAGGCCCTGAATTAGATCGATAGCCAAAAAAGAAAAAAGAAAAAGAGAGAAAAGCCTTTTCCAAAAATTACAAATAAATTTTTTCCAAAGAGCTACTCAAATGAAGGAGGAATAATAGCATTAGAAAAGCATCATCGGCAGCTCCGAAGTCAGGGCCAGCTAAAATGATTAGATGAAAATACACTGGGAATTTTATAATAGGTGCACTGATATGTCCCAAGCCCACTAATTAACCTTAAAATTGCTAACAGTGAGATGAATGGACATAGATTTATCTTGATATTATGCTATGTAGATAGGAAGTACATAAAGCCATCTACGAAATATTCCTGTAACAACTGGGCTGGGGATATAGCTCAGAGGAACAGGGTTTGTCCAGCATGCACAAGGCCCTAGATTGATCCCCAGCACCACAAAAACAAAAACAAAAAATTTAAAACTAAACTTGAACCTGTGTCTAAATCTAACCATCACTTGACAAGAAAAAAGATTGAAGGGACATTTTAACACATCAGAAGAATATAATCAACCAAATTAAGAAAAAAATCTACAGCTAAAATTCTACAGAATAAATGATATGGTTTTTTCAACAAATGGCATTTTTAAAGGGAGGAGGGGGATATATATATATATATATATATATATATTGCAGGACTGAGTAAATGAATATATGTATATGTATATATTTTAACAGAAGCTAGAATCCACTGTGGAAGGAAGTTATAGAATGGGGAAAGATTAGCAGAGTCCCAAGAGGGTTGGATTAGACTTGGAGGTAAGAGTATATGAACTCATGATTTCTACCTCTGTATGCTAAAACTACTAAAGCATGATACTCCAGCAGGGATGATCATACCTACCATTTGGATCTTGGTTTCCAAATACCGTATCTCACTAAGAGGAACCAGGGCTCTTTGGAAAAACAGCTGGTTTCAAGGCCAGGGTAGAGAAGGAGCCAAATGGACCTGAAGCATCATGTTCCACATGATGATAGTAGCATCAAAAAGGCATAGGAACCAGCTTGATGGCCCAAATCTGGAACACTCCGAGAATCAAAATAAATGAGCAACATATAACAACCTATTAAGAATCAATGAGACCAGGGCCAGGGATTTAGCTCAGTGGTTCCAGCACCTGGCTTGCAAGCGCAAGGTTCCAAGTTCAATCCGGGTACCAAAAAAAAAAAAGAATCAATGAGATCATACTGATATAATAGTAGATATGAAATGTCACTATTTTGCAACCATCGGAACAAAAGTAAATTCTGTAAAATCACCAGGGGATGCTAAATCAAGCAAACGAAGGGGAGGAATCTGATGAGGAACAAGATGTTTACATAGTCTGTGAGTACCTCCTCCCAAATTACTTAATAATTTATAAAACTAGCAAAACTACAGAGATAAGGGATAACTTCTTAACCAATCAATAAGGGGCAGACATCATGCTCTTCTAGATGAGAGCACGTGAAAAGGACATAACAGTATTTATACAATATTTCAGCCTAAAAATGCCAATCTAAGTCTACTCATGAGGAAGCATATCCAAATTGAGGAAAATGATACCAAAAAAATGGCTATTATTTCTTAAAAATGTGTTGTCATGAGAACCAAAAGATCAGTTGTTCTAAATGAAAGATGATTTATACAGGGCAATTAAATGCAATATAATATCCTGAACTGTATCCTGCATAGAAAATTTGCTGTGAGTTTTGTGATAATTGATAAAATTAGAACATGAACTAAAGTACAGATAAAAGTAATGTATCAATGCTAGGGCCGGAGATTTAGCTCAGTGGTTTTGCCGCCTGCTGAGCAAGCGAAACGACCTGAGTTCAATCTCCGGTACCAAAAAAAAAAAAAAAAAAAGAAAAAAAGAAAAAGAAATATATCAGTGCTAAATCTGAATTTGATAACATCATTGCTCTTAGGATACATGTTATACTGAATAATAAGGGGGAATAAATGAATGTATGATATATGCAACCTACTCTGAAACAGTTTAGAAGAACTAAATCGTTTGTGTATGCACATGTATAAAGAAAATATGGACAAATATAATCAGTGGGTAAAGGTACAGGAATACTTTATGGTATTCTTCCAACTTCTCTGTAAATGTGAAATTACTTAAAAATTTAAAACGCTGCCAGAGGTAGTGGTGCATGCCTGTCATCCCAGGTACTCAGGCTGCCAAGGCCAGCATAGGCAATTAATTGGGCAAGACTCTTGTCTCAAAAGAAAACAAATAAATAAATAAAAGGACTGGAGATACAGCACATAGCTCAGCACTCCTTTAGCTCAATCCTTAATAAGGAGGGAAAAAAATAAACCACAGATAACTGAGAAAAACAACCTAATTCATGAAAAATCAAGATTCTATCAGTGACTCAATAGATTCTATCTACTGGGTGTCAAGAAAGTCATGGTGTTTTAGGTTTTGTATGATAACTCTATTATAGTTATATCTTTTTAAAAATAGAGTCCTGGGCCAGGGATTTAGCTCAGTGCTTCAGCCACCTGCCTTGAAAGCACAAGAACCCGAGTTTGATCCCCTGCACCAAAAAAAAAAAAAAAATAGAGAGTCCTTCCCTCTTTTAAACAAAATATAAAACAGGCCACTCCCAGGTAAAATCCAGGGGGAAAAGTCATCTAAGTTTACCATAGTTTACAAAAATAGAGGAAGAGAGTCTTAACTTTTGCTCTTGGATTTAAGTCAAGGTACTGTATAGAAGTTGTATAAAATCAGTATGAAAGTTCGATGTTACTTTTCTTGCTCAGTGATTTTAAAGAATTTGTATAGTTCCAGTGTGAACTTTTGATTTTTTTTTAGTATCGGGGATCAAACTCGGGACCTTTCGCTTTCGAGGCAGAGGGCAGCACCATTGAGCTAAATCCCTGGCAACCTTTTCTTTTCTAAACTGCATTCTTATGCCCACCTAAGCCATGCCACTATGTACTGGCTATTACAGTATTTTGAAAGTGAGGTATTTCTTTAATTATGTACAACCCAAAATGTTGGTGTTTTGTATGGATCACAAGTGTAGCAGTTCTTAATTCTATTTGTCACAATTGCTATTTAAAGAACCAAGTATGTATTGCATGAAAACATTATGACCTTTTCCTCTTAGTTTAAAATAAATTCAAAGGATTTCTATTTCTAAAGCACCTTTCTGTTTGCCTGATACCTACTTTAGCAATAATTATTTTTTACTACCCTCTGACTCAAAAAAGTAAATAAAGGTATATTTTATCACTGTTAAAAAAATAGAGTCCTCACTTGTCCTATATATGAGACACACTGTATACTTATTTATGCCAGGAATTTGGTTTAAAATATCCTAGCTGCACTTGTTTTGCAATTGAAATGTGAAGAATAAAAAGACAGCTAACCACTTCAAGATTTGAGAATAGAGCCTTTTTCATCTTTCAGATCGCTAAAAACCACCCGGTTACGTAGCAAAGGTTATTTTTGCTACATATCGTCCTGCCTCTCAAAACTAATGTTCCTGGACGGATAGTAACAAGCATCACAAAGCAAGCATAACTAATGAACGAAAGAGAAAATTATGCAAAATATATTAGAATATGTTAGAAAATCATGCAAAATATGTTAGAAGGAATAATATACTAAGTCTAAACGGGGAGGCGGGGGGGGAAGTACCTTTATTTTAAAACAAAACGACGAATGAAATTTGAAGAGACTATTTCAAGTTCTTCGGTGGTTTCCACTACGGAGGAGTCTGGGAAATCGCGTCCATTCCTCAGCGCGTAATTTACCACCAACTAGGGTCAAAAACAGGGGTTTCGCGCGACAATCCGGCAGGCGTCGTCCCAGGGGACTTCGCAGTCCTTGGGGGACCTTGAAGGACAGGGGCCCGGGCGCGGAAGGCGGAGACCCCGGGAGCCGGGCTGGGAGGACCGCCACGCCCGGGCGGCGCAGTGTGCGAGGGCCGGGGAGGCCACGGGCGTGCAGGGCCGGAGGGCGGAAGGGCCGAGGGCCGGGGACCCGCTGCAGTTACCTCCGCCAGGGCCGGGCCTGGCCCGCGCGCCGAGGGTGAGGGATGCCACCGCGGCCGGGAGACGCGAGCCTGTATCCTGGAGACCCGAGGGCGGGAGGCGGGAAGCGCGCGCGCGGCCCTCTCCCTCAGCGCCTCCGCCCGGCCTCAGCCCCCCCGCCCCGCCCCGCCCGTACGTGAGCCCCGCCCCCTCCCGGCCCTCTTCCTCGCCTGGGGCTGGCTGCCTTCGACTTGCCCCCCACCCTTCCTGAATTTTGGTGAGTCCTTTTGCAGTCCCTTTTCCGTCCAGGCTTTCCTCAGATCTTGGTTGTCTTGAGTGCCCAGGCATGCCGGCGAGCTTTGCTGGAGAACCCTCTGATAACCAAGTAATGGCGGGCGTGTTGGTGCACACCTGCAACCCCAGCAACCCCAGCACTCTGGAAGATGAGGCTGGAGGAGCGCCTCGAGTTCGAGGCCAGCCTGGGCTACACAGTGAGTTTAAGGCCTGCCTGAACTACATATTGAGACCCTGTTTCAAAAAACAACAACAAAAAATTAATACTGAACCTGAATTCACTCGATGTCACTTCCTAGCAGAGACCTTTACAGACCCCAAAATAAAGGGGTCTTAGAACACACAGGAAAACATTTTTCTTGATGGCTAAGGATATTGAGCATTTTAAAATATATTCAGTGGCCATTTGTATTTCTTTTAAGAAGTGTCTATTCAGATCTATTGTCTATTTTAAATGAATGTGGGTGTTGTTTCCCCAGCATCTTTTTAAAGAGGCTGTTCTCCAGTATACATTTTTGGTAACTTTGTCTAGAATCAGATGGTGTAGATGATGGGTTTATTTCTGGGTTCTCTATTGTTTCATTGGTCTGTTTATCTGTTTTTATGACAATACTTTGCTGTTTTGATTACTGCAAACTTGTGGTCCTACTGGTTCAGCCTCCCCAGTAGCTGGAATTATAGGAGTGTGCAACTACATTCGGTTTCTTTTTGAAAACTTTTGGTCATTCGCAGACCGCTTATTTCCATATGAATTTTAGAATCAGCCTGTTAATTTCTGTAAGAAAGTCTGCTGGTTATCTGATTGGGACTGCTGTCATCTGTACATCTATTTGGTGAGAACTCATGTTCCCATCGATGAATATATTTCTCATTCAGAGTTTGATTTCTTCTAACACTCTTTTGTAGTTTTCAGGTCATATACATTAAAATTTAGGTAAAATTAACCTTGCTTTATGGCTTTTCATGTTATTTTTAAAAATCTGAGACGGGCCTTGATGTGTTCCCCAGGCTGACCTCAAATGCCAGTCTCAAGTGATCCTCCTGCTTCAGGCTCTTGAAAAGCTAGGATTACATAAGCACTGCTGTGCCCACCTAATTTAAACTTTTTCATTATTTGTTGCTATTATATAGAAATCTTACTGATTTTTGCACATTGACCTTATATACTGTGACCTTTGTAAAACTTAGTTCTAGTTACTAGCTCTGGTATTTTCTATGTAAGATTTTTAATGATTATCTGTGAATAAAGACATTTACTTCAGCTCTTCTAATTTGTTGTCTTACATTTGTTTTCCATATTGTACTAGTCAGGACCATAATACCACATGGAATAAAAGCGGTGAAAAGACACCCTTGTTTTGTTCTCAATTTTAAGGAGAAAACAATTGTCTTTCATCAGTATGTTTAGCCTTATGTTTGTCATAGATGTCCTTTGTCAAGCTAAATTCCCTTTTATTCCTAGTTTGCTGAGAATTTGATTATGGTATTTCTTGGAGGTGGTCTTGTATATCTTGCTCTGGGTTGATTTCCTTGGACATGTGGGTTTATAGTTTTCATCAAAGCACAAGAAGCAAATGGCAAGTAATGCAAGTGGATAGAGTGGATTTGTGTGTTCAGCATCTAATTCTTTAGAGAAGCACTTCTTTCCTGTTCCATTTGGTTTAAGTGATGATCCTGTACCAGCCTACTACTTCAAGACCAAATCCACTGGGTCATTCAAATCCCTTTTAAAAGTTCTTTTTGGTTAAGTATATTTCTAGGTTAGAAGTGCCAGGACGGAGCAAACTGCCTGCAGAGAAAGAGTAAATATGAAAACAGACATGAACTAGAGAAAACCCTGAAGATACTGAGACTCTTGATCTAGCCATGTGAAAGGAGCACTATATTTGGGCTTTTTAATTTTGAGGGCCAATAAATTCTTCTCATGGTAAAACTGAGATTTTTTTTTTTGAGACAGGGTCTCATTATATAGTTCAGATTGGTCTTAAACTCACTACGTAGCCCAGCCTGGCCTCAAACGTGTCACAATCCTCCTGCCTAAGCCTCCCAAGTGCTTAGATTATAAGCATGTGCCACTACACCCAGCTGTTATTTTCAGTTTTGTTCATCTGCAATGAAGTCCTTAATGCCACCCTATGAACTTCTGAGGAAAAGGTAGGGAGATAAATTCACATTTTAAAAAGACCACTCTGTCCTCAGTAAAAATAAAAGAAATAAAGGTCAAACTAGAGGCAGAGCACTTAGAGAACTGCAGAGATCCATGTGAAACAGGGTAACTAAAAACCTAAACTAGTCTATAGACAATTGGACAGATATGGGGGACAAGAAAGACTTGCTTAGAAATTAGTAACTAATGGATTTAGGACAGGAAGAATTTAAAGATGACATCCATATTTCTGATTTGTGTAGATGATGAAGACTCATGTAGAAAATAAAAGGCGATAAGCAAGGGTAGTCAGAGGGCAGAAACAAGGGATGAGCTCAGACACGGTCATGCTTTGACAGTGCTTTGGGAGGTCCATCAGGTGTGGGCTAGATACATGGTATGGGCTCTGGATCCCACATGATAATTTAGTTTCAAAGAGTCCTTTTGCTGATAGAAGTTGCCAAAAGTATAAAACAAATGACATAGTCTTAAATAAATGTTTAATTTCAAACATGTTGTTATGCTATAGAAATGCTCATTTGAAATGAAAACAGTAAAAAGTATTATAACTACTTTAGTATTTGAAGTGGAACAATGAAACTGAATAAAAAATAGCCTTAGTCCTTACAAAATTTTCCATTTAAGAGTCTTACCATATAACTGCAGTCTCATTTACATATGAGAAAAAAATTTAGAAGACCAACACTTACTACAGGACTGAAAAATTTCTGAAGAAAATAGTTTAAAGAGAATTTAAACATATAAAGAATAAAAGGCAATGCTATAGTCTTTGATTCTGTTTTGTTATTCTTTTCCTTCCATGACTGTATGGTTATAATTTTTCTTCTCATGAATAGGAGGAAAAATATGAAGGCATGAAGTACCTAAAGAAGAGAATAAGTAATCTGAGATTAAATTCACTATAAAATATATAAAGTAGAGAAATTTCTGTGATTAGTAGTCAGGTTTTTGATGAACAAGTAAGTAAAGTAAGTAAACTGTAACTAAAGAAATGTTACACGTGGGCCTGGGATTTAGCTCAGTGGTTTCACTGCCTGCTGCACAAGTGCAAGGACCCGAGTTTGATCCCCGGTACCAAAAGAAAAAAAAAGAAGAGGTCCTGATTTGTGCTCTTAACTCCAGAAGGTATTGCAAATATCTCTGTGGGGTTGGAGTGCTTAAACCCTTTGAAAGTATGCTGTGTGGATAAATGGGATGTTTAGATTTCTCAAACATGGCAGCCTACAACCCTTTTAAAAGATGTACCTTCAATATTATGAGTTGAGTATGTTTAATAACATATATTAAAGGGTTAGTATGTAAATGTGCTTAAAATAAAACTGTACTTATAGATATGTATTTCTAGCCGAAAAAGTCACACATAAATTACAGCATTTAAGCAAGACCATCATTTAAAGAACACATAAAAAATTTTAAATTTATAAAACATAAATACATACTATACATTCATTTTGTATATTTAAAAAGGCTAAACTGAAGGAATTAAAAGCTGAAAAATATGAGGTAGTAGCACTCAATGAATGATTTTTTAACACTCTATTTAATATTATACCCTAGAAGATTATAGGAGAAAACAGAGTTAAATTCTTAGAGAAAAAATGTAGCAAAGGCAATTATTCTATGACCTTAGGAAAAGATAAAAGTGAAAATTTATCCAGAATGGATTTTAAAAATTGTTAGACATGTATTACTGACAATAAACAGAGTGTAACTGTTTTTGGAGAGTGGAAAGAAGTCCAAAGTTTTACATTTTTTAGCCCTATTCATTCTCACTCTTTTCAATTCCCTTGTTGCCATGATTCTGGAGTACTTGGTTTCGTAATTCCAAGTTTGTTGAAGTTGAATTAAACACTACATCATTAGTAACTTTGCTTTATACACTGTGTGTATTGGGTACAACTTGTGTATTGTGATTACTGTAAGAAAGGGAGGTGGGGGAATAGCACAGGAAAGTCAGTCCATAATCTGTGGGGAAGTTTTAAAATTTGACATGCACCTGACTCCCTGTGAAGGCTTGCTGAGACAGAAAGCTGGGCTTCATCTCCAGAATTTCCAACTCAGTAGGTCTGCGGTGGGACCAGAATCTGACATTCTAACAAACTCCCAGGGTGAGGCTCATGCTGGTTTGGCATACATACTTTTGAGAACCAAGGCTCCAGGGGAAATGGTAGTCACAAGGACAAAGAGCCAGGTGGACAGGAAAAGAAAAGTCTCTCCATGCGTAGCTTTGCAGGACACAGAATGATCATTATAAGATTACCACCTGTTTGCCTGATAAAATTGATAGGTGAAGAAATGTCTTTCCAAAGACAAACTTTTTCTTTTTTTAAATAGATATCACTTGCCTATTTAAGGGCTATTGTAGAATCCAATATTATGAAAATGGACCTTGTTCCTAGACTGTTTGGATATCAAAATCTTTGGACTAATTTGAAAATGAGTAATAAAAATTCAAATTTTCTGGCTGCCGTAAAATTCAAAACAAGGATAGTTTTAATCCTTCTGTTGAAATCATAATCTTATTTTAGTACTTTTAGTTTGATTTTTTTGGAAACGAATTCTTGTTATATGTATTCCAGGATGGCTTTGAACTCACAGTGACACTCCTGACACAGTCTCCTGAGTGCTGGGATAAAAGGCATGCGCCACTCTCCCCAGCCAGTTCTTTCTTAAACTGTTATTATTTTTGAGGTGCTGAGAATTGAAACCAGAACCTCACACATGCTAGGCAAGCACTCTATCATTGAGCTATACTTGCAGTCAAAACCAATCATTAAAAAAACAACAGTAGCCATAAAAAATAATTTGTTTGGCAAATGTACTGTCTGAGCATTTGTTAAAACATATTTCTATTAAAACTGTACCAAATTCTCAGATTTAGAACACTTGATATATGGACCCAGCTGAGCCTTTATTTTACAGATCAAAATGCATGGATAAAAATACATTACAATAATTAATGAAGCCGTTCTAATTTTGCTTGGAGAGATTTGAAATTCCCAGTGACGGCTTGTACTGCTGTGGAAGAGCTCATGGATTGGAGCTCAACCAGATAACCACAAACAGCATCCAGGCAGAGATTTGTGAATCTTCTCCTGGAAAGGAAATGATACTTGGTCATCTCTCTATATAGTTAGAAACATTACTACCTTCTAGACAGCATCATCTCTCCCAATTTCTGCTAATCTTACAATCTCACAAAAAAGCAAAAATCCCATGATTAAGTAAGTGTCAAATACTTAACAAAAGAGTAAAAACCTAGCAGGGAAGTCAATTACCGATTTTCATTTGAATATCATCATTACAATAAGAAGGATGTAATGGATGATTCCTGTTAATATTCAATTATCTACATTCTTTTGGCTTTTTCAAGAATAGCCCTTGAGGGCCAGGGATTTAGTTCAGTGGTACCACCGCCTGCCTGCCTCGAAAGCACAAGGTCCCAAGTTCAATCCCCAGTACCAAAAAAAAAGAATATCCCTTGAAGTAGGCCGATATAATTAAAAACATGTAACTAAAATGTCTTGCTCCTACATCATTAATTCACAGCAGAGCCAGGCATGGTGCCGCACCCCTGTAATCCTAGTACCCAGGAGACTAAGGCAGGATGATTGCCACAAGTTTGAGTCCAGCCTGAGCTACATAGCAAGAGCCTGTCTCAAAAAAAAAAAATCCAAGTGGACAAGTAGAGGCATAAACAAGTTGTATCTTCACTTGTATAAAGGATTTAGGACAAAAGTTGAAAAGTTGAAAACTTACACAGGAGGTAATGGATGTCATTAAATATTTATAATATACACAAGAATTGAAATCCCCTATACTTCTTTAAAATCCCTTTAGCCCTCCACAATCTCTCTAAATCTGTTACCCAGCTACTCATTAGAAGCATTTAAAAGCTTCTGCTAGAATGTAATATTTAATTCAGTTACCTCTCACAATTGAAAACTTGACTAGGATTCTGAACATATCTTGTCAATAGTACATGGATACAATCCAAAAGGTGCAATGGCTTTTTCACTCTGTTCCAGAATGGATCCTATAAAGAACATACATATTTTGGTAGGCAAACCATGCCAACTGATTTTTTCAATTATTTATGTTAATGGATTTATCAGGGTCCAAGCAAAAATTATTGCTATCAAAAAGCATTTAAGATCGCTTCTCGGCCTTTTGGCTAAGATCATGTGTAAAAAGCATCTAAGGTGTAGTTATTAAATTAT